GAGTTTACTGTACAAAGATAAACTTTCAAACAAAATCAGTTAGGTTTTCTTACTTAAAAAATAAAATATTATTTTTCCAAGGTAACTGTGTTTGACTAACTTTCAGATACAAAGTAATGAAATAATAAACCTAAAACCCAATAAAAATTTCAAATTACAGATTTACTCCTGAGTTTATTATTATTAAATTGTTAAATTGATATGATAGGATGAGACTCCTTTGGGAAAATGGCTATCCCAACTTTAATCTCTTTTAGGACTTTCTACTGTTCCAGGTTTTAGGGACACAGTAGAGAACTAGGCAAAGTGTCAGCCATGTCTAGCTTACTTTCTAGTGGGAGAGACCGGCAAATAAAATGGCAGGTGGGAACCAATGCTATCATGATTCGATTTATGTTTTAAAAGACTGGCTTTGACTGCTCAGGTGGAATCTGGGAGGCCATTTGGGAGCCAGTGGAAGCGTGCCCACGAGGTGGTGCGCTGGTGCCCAGGACTAGCACAGCAGCAGTGGAGTGGTGGCGGGGAGTTTGAAAATTGATCTAGAACTTGGTGATGGGTTGGGTATGGGAGTCTAGAGACAGAGAACTCACGAATGACATCATTTTTCGTCTGGCACAGTGATGCCATTTACTGAGATGGGACAGAGAGGCAGAGTGTTATACATACAAGGTAGGAGATGAGAGGTCTGGGCCAGAGAGGTGTATGTGAAGTGTGGTTTTTAAAGCCATGGGGTGGATAAGTCACCTTGGCAGTGAGCATCACAGTACTGAGGACAAGGACAAAGCTCCCGGGCAGCAACACTGAAAGATCAGTGAGAGGAGGGAGATCTAATGAAGGGGCCAAGGAAGAAGTGGCCAGTGAGACAGGAAGAAGTGCAGGAGGTTGTAGTGCCCCAAAGCCTGGTGAAGATGGAGTTGTTTAAAGAAAGAAGGAATGGGCCCATTTCTTTGTCAGGCTGGTGAGAGGAGGCCGCTGCGTTTGGTGTGAGGCAGGCATGTCATTCATTGGTAGCCCTGGTGGGGGCAGTGCAGTCAAGCAGTGAGTGAAAGCAGTCCTGCCGGATTCCTAGTACTGGGAGGCTGGGAGGTGGAGCCAGGACCTGCCAGGCTCCTGTGGAGTTTGTCCATGAAGAGAAAAGAGAGAGGTGGATGGGTGGGAGGAGTGTTGGATTTGCCTGGGAGTAGAACAGGGAGAAGAGATGGGCTCTTGAGACTGAGCTTAGAGGGTGCAAGCGGAGAGAGAGAGACTGTGGTGACCCAAGAGGAGATGGTGTGCAAGCGCTATGGTCCCAGGTGGGCAGGAGCTGACTGGTGATGAGAAAAATAGACCAGGCCCAGAACTTCTGGGAGGGGAGAAACAACTTGGGCTGGACGGAGGCATGGCAGCTTCAGCTGGACCTGTCTCCTCTCTTTGTCCTCAGCAAGAGGATAGGTATGGTCCTGTCTTTGTTGTTCTTTCAGCCTTTCGTTACAGTTTTTGTTGAAAAATCATGTTCTTCCCCAGAATCATCCTGTTAAACATACAAATGACTATTCGTTTTCCCTTATAAAGCTATTACTTGTTGATTTTTTTTACATTGTATTGAAATTAATTCATTGTTCTCAGTGTCCTGCAAAATAAACTGGATAAAGCCTTCCTGGCCATTTATGCCAGAATGTAGGATGTCGCTTGTGGGTAGCCCACATACAGGTCTTTGAATGATGCATTCCAAGAAGTCCTTGCAAGTGGCCTTTCTGTTAGCAGAGGTCTTGGTGTAGCACTCTGCTGCCATCTAGTGTCGTAAGTTTTTCTTTTGGAGTAGTTTGGGAAGAAGCTGAGAAATTTTAAAAATTTGGATAAAGGAATGTTTATTTTAATTCAGAATACATTGTTGTTTTTGGTGAGTTTTTCCTTTAAATAATGGACCAAAGTAATAATTCATGTCTATTCACTAAGCACCATTAAAATACAAATAAAATAAACCAGATTTCTAAATATAGATTTATCTAGTTAGGATAGAATAAATCAATTTTTAGTACTTGGTTAATATGAAAATCTTCACTGAGTTACGAAGGGGGACCCAAAAAACTCCAGTATTATCTTTTGGAGGGTGGTCCCCTTGTAGTACAGGCTTCCTTCACTCGGTAAGTATTCTAGGAAGCCATCAGCATCAGTGTACCACTTAGTGTTGTTGTGAGATGTTGATAATTTGCGGAAAAATTGTCCCGAGTTGTGGCAAACAGGTGACTGGTTCTTCTACCAACAGTGCGCCTGCTCACACTGCACTAAGTGTTCAGCAGCTCTTGACCAAAACGGCATGACCTCTGTGCCCCCACCCTCCCTGTTCACCTGATCTCACCCTGAGTGACTTTTTCTGTTTCTCTGGATGAAAAAAGTCCTCAGAGGGAAACATATTGCTGATGTGGAAGAGGTGAAACCAAAAAATGGCAAAAGCACTAAAAGGCATCAAAATTGATGTGTTCAAAAACTGTGTTGAGCAGTAGAAAAAGCATCTCAATAGGTGTATTGCATCAAACGGAGAGTACTTTGAAGGTGACCAAAGTTTAAACATGTACGAAGAAATGCACAGTTGTTAATAAATAAATTCTAGTTTTTAGGGGATCCTCCTCTTAAATATTTTATGCTGATTTTTTCTTTTAAACTGTGGCACCTGGAGAGCTCTAAGGACCTTTCTAGAGCATGGAACTAGTCTGGATGAGGCACAGTCTATCACAAAGTCTCATCCATGATCAGACTCCTCAATAATCTTTGGTGTTAATTCCTTATTTCCAAGTGAAAGATTGTGCTGACCTTGTATATTCGTAAGTAAAATCTCCTTTTGTCTATTATATTCTATCTTCTAGGGAAATTTGGGGAGTGGTGTATTGGGGAGAGATGACATTCTAGAAACAGTGAATGGTAAAAAATGTACTTTAGATAACCTTGAAAAATAGCTCTGCTGTTTTGTCTTCATGGCCAGAGTCACTTGTGAAGTGTTCGCTGTTTGCCAGCAGCTACTGTTTGTTTTGAGAATTGGCCAGATACAGTCTAGCATAACCATGCTTTCATGTGAGAGTAACTTTTTTCTTAGATGAATATTATAGCAAAGGGGTTAGACAAAATAATTTGTTACCATTTCATTGATAATGTAATTAGACTTAGGCTGTTTTCATGTTTAGTATCTAATGGACTACCTTATAAAAATCTCATTAGCCTGAAGTCTTAGAGATTTTTGCCTGAATTTTTCTGGGTTCATTTAATTACCATCAAAATCTTGTGTTATTCCCTCCAACTCCCATGCTGGAGAGAGCCTTAGCCTGGACAAAGGGGCATATATTTTTGGAAGGGGGGAAAAAAGATGTCTGTTTCTCCACTGGGTTAGCCTAAAATTCCAGTGGGAACAGAAGGAGATGACGCATGCTGCCTGAGTATGCACTGCCTCCCTGGCAGAGCAGTCCCATTACGCTTGGGAGAACTCTGCACATCGGTGAGATTGACCTCAAGTTCTTTTACATTCATTTTTATAAAATAAATGGGTTTCATCTGTATATTTAATTCACTTGCTAAATAGAATTCAATTGACTGGTTGGTGACCCAAAAAGTAGAAACACAGCTCTAACATTTATTAGCTCCGTGGCCTTGGGCAGATTTCTTAACCTTCCTAAGCCTCAGTGCCATACCTGGTAAACATCTCAAATTATATTTGTGGTAACAAGTGCAAAAACTTGCTTGACATAGGGCTCAAAGCCCAAATGGTGGTTAATATCAACATTATCTTCCTGTAAAGGTCTTTGAAACTGGGAATGGAAACAAATTTAGATTCTTGGAGTGGACCTATAAGTTATGTTAGCATGTATTTAGTTTTAAATGTGAGCAAATGTTTGTAAAGAAATATTATGTTTTAAAGGTGTATTCTGGGAGGAATTTGATAAATTTGCTATCTTCAGTAACAGAAGAAATGTACTCTTTTGTTGGTCCAGGGAAATTTCCTTCCTCAGGAGCTTTTTCTTTACTCAAAATTTTTTTTTAAAACTGAAAGCTGTTGACTTGCTCTCAAAATTATGTTAACTAATTGTAGAAAGTTTTAATTTGGGAATAAACATACCAATAAATATTTAATTGTGTGGTAAGAAGAATATGAAAGATTTCATTTCCTCAAAAGCATACTCCCCAAAACAGATATACTATAACCTCTCCCTGAAACATACAGTCCTAAATTAAAGTCATGAAACAAAGCCAGCATAACCCAGGGAGGTCTTACAGGAGGAACTGGGAACCCAGCATTTGCATGTCCGTGAATTGAATGTCTGTATGTGAGTTTGCTGGTTTCCCTGCTTAGGCTGCTCTCCTTTGAAGAATAGGCTTCTTCTGAGTTTTTCTGGGGTGGCTGCAATGTTCTTTCTCACCATGGTCTCGGTAGCACAGGGCCCTGGGGAAGCTGGCAGAGACCTGAAGCAGTTGTTGCCAGCACTGACTGGACTTCTCCCACTTCCTTTCCACCATTTTTCTTTCCTTCTCTCCCCTCCATTACTCCTCAGAGCTTTGGCAGTAGCCATGGAGCCTTCGTAATGTGTTCACTGCCCAAGTGTCTCCTAGAATTCTTAGAATAGGCAGTGCAAGTGGCACCTTTTTTTTTTTTACTCAGCCTGTCATCTTTTAGTTACCTGGATATTTCTGTTTCTGCACTGCGCTTAAATTGTGCATCATTGCAAAACTGTCTTTTTTTAAAAAACTGTTTTGTTTTACATGTAATTATATAACAAAAATAAGCTAATGTTTAATCTAGTTAGAATGGCTCTAAAAGCATAATAGTGCTCCATACTTTTGAAATATTGAGTTAGTGGTAAAGGAATTTGAGGAGATAATAGGAAAAAAATTGCTGGGTTGGAATTCCTTAGAGTGCAAACCTAAGTAATTTCTAATAAGTAATCGTTGTAGTTCGTGCCAGCTAAGGCACATGTTTAAGCCCTCAGTTTGTTCCTGTGGTTCATTTTGAGACTCACACGGACTGATTTTTACAGGGCGACCTGAAAACGTATCTACGTACGGAGCAGGAGCACATGCGGGGGGACTCGCAGACCATGCTGCTGCAGAGGATGGCATGTGAAATTGCTGCAGGGCTGGCCGCCATGCACAAGCTGCACTTCCTGCACAGGTGGGTCTGTCTTTCAGGGCTGTACTGCACATATCACCAGTGGGGCAGCCCACAGAAGCTGTCTGGTTTGTGAAAGGCTCTACAGAAACCTTAGCAGGCAGACCACAGAGTGAACTCTTGGCTTATACAAGTAGACACTATCTTATTCTTTTCAGTGTCTAATAATGGTTGAATTGGGCTTCATTAAAAACAGCACCAGGGCATAAAATCGTGATACAACCTAAGGTCTGGAAGTTATTTCAGAATTCAAATGTAAAAAGTCACAATGCCTTAAGAGTTGGAAGTAAACAGTCCCAATCCACCTGGTGACTTATTGCCCATTACATCCTTTTCACATCAGCCCCAGGTTTCTTATCCTACCTGCTGGGTTTCATGTTGCGTGCCTGGTCACATTCCTGAGAGAGGAAGAGAGACTCAGATAGGCCAACAGCATCTTTTTGTATAATGTCCTATCACTGGTTTCTGGCCAGTTTTTAAAGGCTTGACTTCAGGTGCCCTCGTCAAAGCAGAGGTGTCATGGGATTAGATCTACAGATGAGAGGCTCACTCCTGCATAGGTGTCAGGGGTGTAGGTAGTCGGGTTGTGTGAGAGCAGTGCGGTGATCCATGTAGAATATTTCTGTCAAAACTTTTCAGGGCCCACCTGAACGACTACAGTTCTTAGGAGCACATTGTATTTTGTTCAGACCATTGATGGTGATATTCATAATTAAAACTATAAAGGGCTTTGAGTCCTATCTCCAATGATAGTTCTGTTCTGTGAACCCAAAAGAGATTTCTGCTTACTTTCCTCTAGGCTTTTGAGCTCTGGTTTATGTCTAAAATATGTTTAAAATTATTGTTTAAGTCTCCAGGGAAACCAAGGAGTATTTCTTTAGTTGACTTTAAATAAATCATTTAACTTTTAATACCCCAAAGACCTAAAATGGAACATCTGTGTGTCTATGTCTATAAAGTATTCTATATTTTTGAAAAGCAGGTTGCAAAGTACTATATTTATAGTATGCCTCAGTTTTTTTAAAGTAAGAAAACACCTGGTCATATTTCTAGAGGTGTGTGCGCATGTGAACAGGCATGGAAAAGTACTGTACCTATCAAACTCTCAACAATACTTCCAGGTGGGGAAGAAGGAAAATTATTAACCTTTTTTTTTTTACACATTTTATCTTGTTTGACTTGGAATAGTGAACAAATCCTTCTGATAAAGTGTTTTTTAAAAAGACCCAAAAGGTTATGGGTTTCTTAAGACCCAGAGGTCTCTTACATGAAAATCCAAAGTATAAAGTTGGAAAATTTTATATTTAGTTTTCTAGTCTTATTTAATAGCATTGTTTGTATTGTTAATCTTTTATAAAATGTAGATGATTATTGCCTAACACTTGATTTAGGAATTTTTTAATTTTGGAGAATTTAAAAAAATATCATACCAGATCAGCAAAATAAAGTTATCAAAGACAGCTGGAAAATGTGTTTAAAGCCCAAGTATATTTCTTCTGGTGTATTTTAAAAATTTGCAAAGAGTAAGTAGTATTTTCCTGTGAGTTTCTCAAATTACAGTTTTACTTAATTTAGAATCTTGTGGACTTTAGAACAAGTAAAGATGATAAGGTAAATCACATAGTTTGGATTTTATTCAAGTTCAGAAACTCAAAGTAAAGAAAATCCTTATGGCCAGGTTTGGTGGCCCAGCCTGTAATCCCAGCACTTTGGGAGCCTGCGGGTTCAAGATCAGCCTGTGCAACTTGGCGAGACTTCGTTGCTACAGTAAATCAAAAATTAGCCAGACGTGGTAGCACGCACCTGTAGTTCCGGCTACTTGGAAGACTGAGGTGGAAGGATTGCCAGAGCCCAGCAGGTGGAGGCTGTGGTGGCCAGGAGTGTGGCATTGCACTCCAGTCTGGGCCACAGAGTGAGACTGCAACTCAACAACCACAACAAAAATCCTTGAAACCATTGACAATTTTCATTTCGGTTTTACAAATAGTCATATTTTATATAAAATTTCCATTTGGGGCAAAGTTTTGTGTTTTAAGCCCTTTTTGTTGTTAACATAGTATACAGTATATTTTTCAGTTAGAATTTAGAGTATTTATTGGTTGACTCAAAGTAGGACTTTCTGTGTTGGTTGACAATATAACAACCCACATGTTCAGCTGAAAGTTATTAGCTCATTTGGAAACTAATCTTTTAGTAAAGCACTCCCAATAAATTGCATTTTTACCTATCATTATCGAAGAGTTTTATCCCAGGATCTCAGGCAGCCTACATCTGTGAGGTAGTGCGCATGATTTTTGTGAAGGCCATGTAAACAGCAGGCGCTGCCAGTTTGTTGCTGTTCCACGCCTCTTGCCTTGCTGGCTGAGAGCCTGGGACTTCTTGTCCCCTGCCTGTGAGTCTTCCTGAGCAATGCGTCAGTGAGATGCCATTAGGTTACTGTGACGAGCTTAGTGCAGAGGGCTTCCCATAGGCGGCGTGTGTCCTCACAGTAGCTCATGGAACTGGAGACCTGCAGGGGGGTGGCCTTGAGGAATACCTGGGTGAAGCTTGTGCCCAAAAGAGCCTCTTCAGGATTTGCCCAGTTTAAGTTAAATTTCCTTTCTGCTGAGAAACACCGAGGTTGCTAGGTTTTCCAGCCCTCAGGATGTCAGGTCATCAGGTGTGAGAGGAGCAAGGTAAATAAACCCTTGCATTAAGTGCCACTTTATATTATTTTTTCATTATAAATTGTATTGCCTGTGTTCACATTGGTAAAACTTAGCAAGTTTGGTCACTGATCAGCTTGTGCTGCAGCTCTAGCATGAGTGTTTCTGTCGATGAATTATTATTAGGCGTTTCTAATTTGTGTGTGTGTAAAAATCTTTACATTATGCAGTTATGTGCTGCATAAAGACATTTTGGTCTGCAAAGGACAGTATGTATGACAGTGGTCTTAATAAGATTATGAGGAAGCTGAAAGATTCCTACTGCCTAGTGACGTTGAGGCCATCATCACACCATAGCACAATGCATTACTCATGTTTGTGGTGGTGCTAGTGAAAACAAGCCCACTGCACTATCAGTTGTATAAAAGTCTGGCCCATATAATTATGTCTAGTACATAATACTTAATAATAAGCAACTGTGTTACTGGTTTATGTGTTTGCTACACTAGTTCTTTATTTTAGAGTGTACTTGTGTGTGTGTACATAAAGTTAATTGTAAAAAAGCCTCAGGCGGGTCCTTCAGGAGGCATTTTAGAAGAAGGCATTGTTGTCATAAGAGATGGCAGCAGCCGGGCTTGGTGGCTCAGCCTGTAATCCCGTGCCTTTGGGAGGCTGAGGTGAGTGGATTGCCTGAGCCCGCGGGTTCGAGACCCGCCTGGGCAACTTGACGAGACCTCATCTCTACAATAAATCAAAAAATTAGCTGGGCGTGGTAGTGCGC